GGCGGCCGCCAACGCGCCGGTACCCGCCGCGGCCGGCGACCCCCAGGCGCAGCTGGAGGCCGACAAGCGAGCTGTCTACAGGTGATGCAAGCTAATATCAGTGTGCATTAATTAATTAATGCATTCATTAATGCATTATTTCATTAGTGTGTTAGTTATTGCAATGCATTATTAATGCATTGATCGGCGATGCAGTAATTAACGCACTGGTTAATGCATCGATTCGTTGATGCATTCGTTATTATAATGCATTATTAATCTGCTATTCTAATGCATTAATTAACACACAGGATTGGGGGGATTAGCCATTAGCTCCCTTTTAGCAATAAGAACTATTGATGATAATGCATGGCGGTGGAGCTCCTTCATGGGCCTTGTTTTGCAGCATCTCCCCCCCTCCAATATATTCACTCCCCCAAAGACCCAGATTGACCTTTTGGCTTTTTTCTTTTTTTTTTTTTTTTTTTTGGCAAAACCATGCAATTTTGGTCTGAAAAAACACCCAGAAGGAGTAAAGTCACGCATTAACCTGAAATATGCATCTGTACAGGGTGCGGGCAGCAACAGGCACAGGATGGATGAGTCCCTCCAGTCCCCTTTTTTTGGTCACTTTGAAGATTATAATATATAATATTGTAATGTATGCAGTAATATTATAGTATAATTGCAATAAGTAACAGTATAATTATGTAAATAGTATAATTATAGAAGCAATATGTAATTATTTAAGTGATATGTAATTATTTACAATATTATAATGTATACAGCAATGGTGTAACAATAATGTATAATCTTACAATATAATTAGGATTAAGGTTTAAGGTTACAGATTAGCCCCCCCCCCTCCCCTGTTAATGGCCAGGGCCGCAGGGGGTTGTGAACCAAAAAACTGCAGCTTGGAAGTGAAGGAATTAAAATATTTTGACTCCAAATATTCAAATATGATGAGTCCAAAAGGTCTGGAAAGGCAGATGAAGGCATGGAGTAAACCCACCGTTTTCCCAGGAAAATGCAAAGGATTATTCACAGTGAATCTCAAGATTTTTTCCAATGATGGAAATAGTTTTCTCAAGGCAAAAGAGGTCATTCAAGAAAAAAACCCACCTTTGCTTTGCACTTCTGCAAGGACTTTTACAACATTCATGAGATAACGACAACCAAAAAACCCACGCTTTTTTAACAGCCTTAATTTGAAGGTCAACAAAATGGCAGAAATACCTTTTTGGAGGTATTTCCCACACAGAAAAGTAGGAAAAAATTATTAGCTGGTCCCACATGTGGACTTGGTTGCCCAAACATGGATGCTTGTTTTTGGGTACCAGCCAAAACTACCCCCCAAGTATCTTTTAATCTCTAAAACCACACCTAACCAGCCTTTGCTTGCTGCATGCAAAACCTGAATATTCACCTCTACAACACTTAATATGAATTGTGTGTATGTCATTAGCTATCAAATGCACACAGGGAGGTTTTTAGCCCTCTCAGGGCTGTTCCCTCCACCCAGATCAGTGGATTTTTGTTAATTTTCAATAATTGCACCAAGGCAGAAGGCATCAGCTATAAGCATCGGTCGATCAACCTGGAGGGAAATCACTGGGAGAATGCAATGGGAAATGTAAAAAACGCTGGACAAGTCACCCCACCGGGTTTTATGCTCTAGCAGGAGGTTTATCACCCATAAAAAAAAATAGAAAAAAGAGAAAAAAATTAATTCTCCCCCCTCTCTGCTTGGCATGGGAGCATCTTCGCAGGGACTGGTCCAGCAGCATCACTTCTCTGCTGTGATTTTTTCCCAGCTAAATTATTTTCTTGACTTTATGCAACAGCAGGGCTGGGACTTCCCAACAGATTTCAGTCCAGTAAAGATGATGCTCCTGTGGGAACTGATGCTTAAACCACCCCAGCATCACAAACTGGGTTTTTCCAAGTGGGAAACAGCTAAATTTCTTCACATGAAGTTTTTTTTTTTATTTTGGGGGAGGGGGAAAGGGGCATATTGGAGCAGGGTAAAAAAAAAAATTCATGTTGTGATGTGCCCACAGTGCTGCCAGTTCTTGGGCAGAGCCCTGCTGAAAGTGCAAAATTAGGCCATTAGAGGAATTCATTTCTCTTTATTAGCCTGTGTCGAATCCTTTTTATTAGTGGCTGCAAACGACTGCTCTCCAGCATGAAAATGTCAGGTCCAGTTCAGCCCTTTTATGTGGAGGATTCCCTGAAAAAAAAAAAAAAGAAAAAGTTTTTTTTGCAAAACCATATTCAGCAAAAGCAGATTTTTCCACCCCAAAACTCTCCCTTATGCTATGGGAGTGATTTTCTGCCTCCATAACACTTGTGATGGGGAAATCCTCCTGTTTGCCCACACATCCTCCTTTTCACCCCACAAATATCGTAGGGGGGTGGGATCCTGCTCTCAATTGTCATGCCACAGCCTCCGCCTGCACACCCACCATGGTGGCCGTTCCCTTCCCCTGCCTGTTGTGGTCACGAGAAGGCTGGAAATAGAGAAAACTGCGTATTTCTTCCATACAAAAGGGGAAAAAAATTACAACGGCGATTCAGCATATATCTTGCAGTGGGAACCCAAATTTCATTGCTCCTCCGGCTGCACTTGCCTACAGGCCTTGGTGCTCTCCCTGAACCAGTCCCTGGAGGTTTTGCACCTCCCCCTGTTATTTTATTTTATTTTTTTTTAAAAAATTTATGTTGATTTATGTTACTTTTTGTTTGTTTCTTTTATTTTGGTTTGGATTTTCTTATTTTACTTTAATTTTTATTTATTTTTGTTTAGTTAGTCTGATTAGATTTTGTTTTATTAATTTTGGTTTTTTTATTTTATTTTATTTTATTTTATTTTATTTTATTTTATTTTATTTTATTTTATTTTATTTTATTTTATTTTATTTTATTTTATTTTATTTTATTTTATTTTATTTTATTTTATTTTATTTTATTTTATTTTATTTTATTTTATTTTATTTTATTTTATTTTATTTTATTTTATTTTATTTTATTTTATTTTATTTTATTTTATTTTATTTTATTTTATTTTATTTTATTTTATTTTATTTTATTTTATTTTATTTTATTTTATTTTATTTTATTTTATTTTATTTTATTTTATTTTATTTTATTTTATTTTATTTTATTTTATTTTATTTTATTTTATTTTATTTTATTTTATTTTATTTTATTTTATTTTATTTTATTTTATTTTATTTTATTTTATTTTATTTTATTTTATTTTATTTTATTTTATTTTATTTTATTTTATTTTATTTTATTTTATTTTATTTTATTTTATTTTATTTTATTTTATTTTATTTTATTTTATTTTATTTTATTTTATTTTATTTTATTTTATTTTATTTTATTTTATTTTATTTTATTTTATTTTATTTTATTTTATTTTATTTTATTTTATTTTATTTTATTTTATTTTATTTTATTTTATTTTATTTTATTTTATGTTATTTCCAACTGAAAAGCAAACCACCACCCCCTCAGCCACATGCCTCCCCCTCCTCCTCCCTGCTCCAAGACATTCATGGGGGGTCAATAGCAGCACTGCCTCAATTATTAATACTGCAGAGTGTGGTGTGATGCCAGCAACGGTCTTAATAACCCCTTGGTCAATGCAACCCCTCAAAGCAAATGGGCTACAAATTGCTCAGGGGCTGCAATCCGCATCCCGCCCCCCCAAAAAAAACCCCAACCCATCCTTGGTGTAATTCTGTGCCTTTGCTCCTAATTGAAGGAGCAGCTCTGGAAATGGCAGCAGGTACCTGCCTCTGAGACGCCAGTTCATAAGTCCCAATAATTCAGCCTGCCGCCTGGAATTTGCCTTTCATATCCCTTGGCTAAGCCCCGGCGGGGCTGCCAAAATTATGAAATTATTTCCCCCCCCCTCCCCGTTCTCCACTCCAGCCTCAGCGAATCTTGCATTAAACTGGGATCAGGACAGATTAAACTATAATATGCTGTGGTATTAGCGGCTGCAAATGAAGACTTAGCCGAGGGGTTTAACCCCTTCGCTTGACTCCAGCTTGGAAAAGGCTGGCAGGCAGGAAGTGATTCATAATCATCTTTTGGACCATTTTTTGGAGGTAAAATGGTGGAGCAGATCCTATTGCGCTGGTATAACTGGGGTGATGTGGGAGACCATCCCTGGAGCAGCATTTTGCATTTCTCCTCTGAGAGACGCCATAAAAACATTTTTTAAAAAAAAATTTGTGCAGCTGGAGAGGCTCATTGAGGGTTGTGCTACCTCCTGGTCTTCACCCCCTTCTCCATGTGCTTTGGTGTTGTAGGTATATTGCATCTATTTAGCATCTTCATTAAAGCAAATTTTGGATTTGCAAGAATCACAACCCTGTTTTCTAATCATTAGAGGAATCGTGGATTTGCAAGAAGAATTGCAAATCTTTGTTTTCTAAGAGTCGTCATGTGGTAAGAAAGGAATGGGATTTGACCCATCTTTATGGACAGACATGGATATGCTTGACAGAGGTGCAAAGAGACCTCTTGGTAGAGAAGCAACCCATGACAAGGGTGGCCCAGAGGATACTGCGGGCATGTAAAAATACCAACTCATCCCCACCTGGTGTGTCCAACCGAGAGACATTTTGGGGTAGAATATTACCATCGATGAGTGGGTGCTGATACTGATTCCCAAAATGCAAAGCTACCAGGACAGCAGATGGCTCCAAGACAACCACCCTGAAGCCAAAACCTTTTGTCCATGGCAAAACATTTTGGAAATGCTGGCTTTGGTGCAGTAACGGAAAGCACCAAGACGTTGGGAGAAGCCATTCCCTGGTGAAGAAGATGCTGAATTTTGCAATTTTTAAGCTTTTATTGTTGTTGGAGGTCTAGAGGGAGCACTTCCATCACTGGCTTCGGGAGTGAGGTTTGCACCACAAGGTTTTTGCAAGCTGGGGGGGGGAATGGATGGATGGTGTGGGGTAAAACTGGACGTGGGACCTAAACCAGCGGGGCGTTATGGGGGTCTCCTTTGTCCTCTGCAGGCACCCGCTGTTCCCGCTGCTGACTCTGCTCTTTGAGAAGTGTGAGCAGGCGACACAGGGCTCCGAGTGCATCACCTCGGCCAGCTTTGACGTCGACATCGAGAACTTTGTCCACCAGCAGGAGCAGGAGCACAAGCCCTTCTTCAGCGATGATCCTGAGCTGGACAACCTGGTAGAGGCAGATGGGGCTTGGCAGATGGTTTTTGGGGGGTGGGGAGGAGGTAGGGGGTGAGGAACAAATTATGAAGATCTACCACCTTGAGAAACATCTTTGGGCTCCGTTTGTAGTGTTGGCCATCTTGGCAATGTTCTCCATAGACCTTGTGAGACCTTCTTCAGGTCCTTCTCTAAGACCTTTTCCATAAGATACCCTGTGAGAACAAGTCCCTGCCCAATTTTTCGCCGTTTTTCCACACAAACGCCATGAGGTCAACATATTTACTGGAAACAGCCAAGATTGGTGGCTGGTTTGTGCCCCAAAACTTTCAATCTCTGCAGGAATTACTGCTCTCTGGTGCAACATGCAATAGTGCTTGAGTTCTTGTCTGGCACCATCTTATTTCAAGGGTGACAGACAGCTCTTGTCCTAGAAACAAGGCAAAATAAGAGCTTTTTTCAAAAAGGGTGATGTGTATCAATGGTTTGGGACACTGTGGATCATTTTTGGTGGCTTTCCTGTCATAGCAACCCAAATTTCCTACTGTACCCATTGCTGCTGGAAGGTGCCTCGGAAGACTTCACTTGGGATGGAGCTTTTCTCTTGTGTGGACCTCAGAAAACATCTTCAACTCCCATTATTTTGTTCAGGAAGCTCCACATGTGGTCTCTCTGGCCAGCGTGTGCACCATCTTGGTGTACTCCCAGCGCTCCGCAAGAAAATTTTTAAGGTCAAACGAGGCAATTTTGCCTACCTCTGCTGATGCAAAGCAAAACACCTTTCCAAGGGGTTGGCATGTCCCCTGGGATACGTAGCAGAGGGATTTCCATCCCAGAAAAGAAGCAAAATCGGGCAAATTATAGGCAGCTTTTTCCAAATATTACTGATATTGAAGAGGTGATCTTGTCCAATGACCTGGCATGAAGGGAAGAAGAATGAGCAATTATCATCCAAGTATAAAAACTACCACTTTCCTTAAAAAAAAAAGCAAGGAGCACTTTCAAGATGGATTAAAATACTCCATCCTTTGTGCCTGATTTCAGCTTGTGGAGAGTTTTGCGACATCACAAAATCAAGAGTGGCTTAGCAGTCTGTGGAAAGCCCTCTCTAAAAACTGCAGGCCATGCAAAGCCCCATGTACGGATTTCTAAACCTATTTCACAATGTCTTATAGCCAAGAACAGAAATGGCTCTGGGACGAGCAACCAAAAAAAATCAATACTTTGGATTATTTCAGTTTTGGGATTGAACATGCATCAAATGTTGAGGTGCACCCAAAAAAACATCATCATGTTAAATTACGTACAAATGGGTACAATGATTGGGCAAGAGGGAGATGGAGCCAGCTGAAGCTTAAAATATCTAAAATTTTGGGGAAGGAAAACCTACTTCTACATATATTAAGCTGAAACATCTCCAGCCAAATGGTCAGTGCAGGTAAGGTGACCACAGAGGCTATTTTCACTGGTTTTTTGTTGGTTTCTTTAAAAAACCCCACACCAGTCATCTTTTTTGGACATGTTTTGGAGTAACTCTTGCTGCTGAGGTGAAATCTGGGCGTGGGCAGTTACACTGATCCCATGTATGACCTTGCAGCACTGGGTATGTTCATATTTATACTCATATTCACATATATATATATGTATGTATTTTTGTCCTCTTTCTAGGACATACGTCTATCTATACATTCTATCCAATTCCAAGAACTTTGCCAAAAGCCACCCAAATCACTCAGTGTGGTTGGCCTCCATCCAGACAGATGGTTAATGTGAAGCTGAAGAAGGACCATCCCTATCGGTGGGAAGCACCAACTCAAGGGAATTTTGGATGAAAAAGCCTTGCAGTGTTCAAACTCAACATTTCAACCTGTTCCTGAGCTGACGCTTCTTCCCTATTTGCACTGTCCTTTTTTTTTTGGTGATTTTTTGGGGGGTGTTTTTTTCTTTTAATGCCACCAATTTGCCAGAAATCGGCAATGGCAAAGCAGGGATGAAAAGGCCAGCGGCATTAGCTATCATTAGAATAAGAGTCATGTATTCCTCACCGCCGAGATGCACATAATTAGAAATTAGAAAAAGGTCAGATCTCACCATTATCAACTCAATCAGCTGCCGAGTGCCACACAGTCAATTAATTCAGCATCTGTATTTTTTACAACCCCGCGCACGTACGCCGTCGGACTGTAACTCTTTATCCGGACAGATATACGACGCAGCGGAGCAGGGACATAAAATGAGACCCTAAGCAAATGAGCTGAGATAATTGAGAGATTTATTTTTTATACATATATGTGTCAGGTCTTCTTGCCTTTGCCCTTGAATATTGACTTTCATGGCCGTTGAGCCCTGGGAGGATGCGGAGAGCCGGGGTGCAACGCCTCCACCTTGCGCTTTGCCTGCGCCAACTGCAAAGGAGGAAGAAAAAAGGACAAAAAAAGCAAAAAAGGGAAAAAAAATATTTTCCAGCCACAACCCATCATCCCTGTTGTTTGCCAATCAAAAATTTGCTTTCTCTGTTGTGGAGCTGCCACCTGTTTCTCCCTGGATTTTTCAGGATGTTTCCCAACCATGGCGACTTGTAGTTTGTAAAGATGACCACTAAAATTTGCAAGTTAAAAACACCCTTTGAAATGCAAAGACGCTTTGTTACATAAAACCGGATTTATTGCCCCGGAGTGAATAGCTGAAATTTTATATATTATGCAAGATTTCAAACAGCGGCTGTAAAACTTAAGGTTTCAGCTCAGCAAGAGGAATGTTTTATGTGTAAATTTTTTAACGTTTATGGGATACGTTTTAATGAGGCCCAGGCTTTGCACCGGCAACAGCTTATGGCGGAGTTGCAGCCCCATAATCTTGTTAGAAGTGGCCTCCAGAGAATAACCAAACACTTTTCAACATCCAGGGCTTTGACTTGGACATTTTTGGGCACAGGGAGCAATTCTCATGAAGCCAACGGTAAATTTTGTGAATTTTTGCCTCTTGGGTTTTCAGAGGTATGATTGATGGGGAGGGAAAAGAAACACAGAGATGCAGAGGCACGAGCTCTGGGGTGAGTTTGGGGCAAGAATGTTGATTTTTTTTTTGTCTTTCTTTGGTGTGTTGGGAAAGGAAATGCATTTAATTCTGCTATAGGGATCAGTTCCATGTTAGATTTTGGGTGAAGATATTGATTTGTTTGTTTTTTTTTTTTTATGTGTTGATGAAAAAATAATATTTTAACTTTGCCACTGTGTGCTCTTACGTAGATGGTGAAGGCAATCCAGGTGCTGCGCATCCACCTTCTGGAGCTGGAGAAGGTCAACGAGTTGTGCAAGGACTTCTGCAACCGCTACATCACCTGCCTCAAAACCAAGATGCACAGTGACAACCTACTCAGGAACGACCTGGGGGGGCCCTACTCCCCCAACCCCTCCTCCATCAGCCTTCACCCCCAGGTAACACCTTAAAAATCACCTGTAATCAACATCATTGCACAGTGGCCAGCATCAAGTGGAGCCAAGGTTTGAAGGCTGCTCTGCAGCTCTTGTAGTCACTTGGAAATTCATCAAAACCCATCCCCAATGGAGGAAAATAATTTTTAAAAAACCCGTATCTTGCTCACTTGGTGCAATAAATGATGCTGCAGTGATGGTTTTCTTTTTCACGACCCTTTGTTTGGCAGAACTGCAACACCAAGGTTTGTGTCTCTGCAAAAGGTATTTCTTGAGGACTTCTAAACTCTTATGTTGCAGCAATGAAATGTAAGGGGAAGGAATTGCAGAAGCCATGCAAGCGCATGGGAAAATGGACAAGAAATTTTGTTTTTTCATTAAAAATATTATTTGTTTGTGGGAGGGACAGAAACACCATGATTTTCTGCACTACTTCCTCTCTCCTCGTTTTTGTCTACATTTCAAGGAAGCTCAACAGATTTTATGGTCTCAGATAACCTGTTTTGGCTTCCCTGCTCCTTTTTTTCCCCAGCACATCTTGCAGTTCTCCCCCAGCATGATCAACATGCTCACCTTGACCTTTTATTTTTTTTGCGTAATTTGGGTTTTAGCTGGAAGAAGGAAACATTTAGTGTCTCAAGCACAGTGGGAAAGTAGGAGAGGCCCAGGAAGTGCAGAAATATCAACTGAAATGGCCAAAGCAAGCTGGACCTTGGTGGCTTTTGGAGCAAAATAAGGGATTGTAACTTAGTATTTGGAAACAAAGTTGCCCATGGGTTGGAGTTTTATGTGCATTTACAGTGCAGGGAATAAACATTGGCTGGTTGCATCCCAAAAACGTCCTTGATGCAATATTGTGTGTACTTTGGGGATTTCTCTCGCAGACTTTTTGGGGGGCAAAATGAAATCTGGGGTTGCACAATCCCACCAGAAATAACTGCAGCCAACCCAGGCAGCTCTTGGGGTTCTCCCCAGAAAGAGGCAGGTGGTGTTGGGCTTTTTAGGGCTTTTCAGGGCACTTTTAGGGTGTTGGAAAGAGAAAAAAATGTCATTTTTAGCAGTTCAGCTCCAAGTGCTGCAGACTTTGAAGACCCAAACACGATGCTTCCAGCCCAGCACAGGGAGGAAAAAGCCCCTTGAAAAGTTTTATTTTTTATTTGGGTTTCCTGAAAGCACCAAACCACTTAATCATTGATCTAAAAAAACCCATCCTCTCTCTATTTTCTAATAATCTCTAGAAATGGACTTATTATCCCTTCGCTGCTTTATGGTAGCATTCCTTATGATCAAAATTAGCAAGACACTTGCATAAAAGAGAACAATAATTGCTCAACGAGCATCTCGTTTGTAATTTATTAGTTTCTATTATTGTGTGTCGCTATGGCAACAGCTCGCATCCCGGGTGATGAGAGAGATGTTAGATATGAGCCGACGAAGCTCCCGGTCCCAGCAAATGGAGATGCACGTTTTTTATCAGTAATTTTCATGAAAATAATAAGTGAGGGAGTTAATGAGATGGAAAGCCGTCCTGTGGCTATTGTGATTTTTTTTTTCCTCTTTTCCTTTTTTTTTTTTTTTTTTTAAGTGTTGATCTAATTAGAATGCATCGGTCAGGAAAAGTAATGAGGATTTAGTGCCTCACAAAGAGGTGGGGATCGTATCAGAAAATTAGCACAAGTCTTTGGAAAATAATCAGGCCCATGGAGAGGTACCAAGCGCCTCTGATTCCTGCAAACTCAGAGCTGCTGACATTTCCCTTCCGGGCAAGACTTGAAAGTTGAGAAATTCAAGTGAGGATTAGGAGGCAGTTGCTAAATAGATGGGAACACACCCAGGAAAGACCCAACTGGAGAGGAAACACTCGCTCAATGATGAAGGGATTTTCAGCAAGCAATGGGAGACAAAATATTCAGGATGATAGACCAGAAGGAGCCACTATCTCATCTGGTCATTGGATGAGGATGACAAACCAGTGAGGATACAACAGCAAATTTTTTTTAATTATTCAGCTAAGCAATGTCAAGTGCCTGAGTGCTTTGGCTCATTGAGTATACTTGAGTTTGCATAGATAAGGCTTAAAAAAAAGGGTGGAAATACTCTATATCAACCAGTTGAGTTTTAAGGGCTGGGGATGCTCCAGAGAGTTGAAGAATCAAGGGATCAGTGCTTAAAAAATGGCAAGATGATTTCGCTAACTATTGTCCTATTAATCTCATGCTGATGGCAAGTAAAACAGCTAAGGGGCCACTAATTTAGGACTTTTAAAAAAAATATATATAAATAATGGAAATGTGTTTGTTATCAATGAACGAGATTTCTCAGCAAATAGGTTTTCCCAGAGTTTGGGAGGGACATTGATCATTTTGTGAGATCATTCGTGTGAGAAGATATACCAGGTTAGTCATGAAAGCAAAATGCTTCCAATTTTTGCAAAGTTTTTAGCATGGGATAACCTGCTAAAAAGACCCATGGTTACACAATAACATGGATGTCAACCAAACCTGAGAAAACAACATACGGAGCTGTCAAAATGTTGTCATGGAAGAATCGTGGTGGGATTTCCCTGGTGTATCCAAAGAGGATGGTCCTTGGCTTGGTGTTATTTCTGCTAAGATGAAAAATGCAAGACTCTCTGGAAATGCAAAATACTTGGAGGTGATGGAAAGGTGAGAGAGCACCCAAATAGGTGTTTTGAATGTTGCTGAAATCTTCTCATGTCACCAAATCTAGAGATGACTCCTGGCATTGGCCAAGTTTGGGTGAAAAGTTGTTTTTTTTTCCTGAACCTTCATTACCTTATGGAAATTTTTCTACTCTGTTTTCTCATTTTGTGTTTCACTTTGTTTTGTGGAGGAGTTTTAGTTTCTTTGGCCCGCAAGTTCACCAATCAAGTCCCCTTCTTCAATTTTTCTTGGTTGTTTTCCACTTGGCTTCATCCCTCTTCCTTGGGTCCTCACTGGACCCTAATTTTTAACTCCCTCCCTTTGTCAAAGTGGTTCTCACTGCTCTCCAGTTGACCTTGCTTGGAAGAAAAAACCCACTGCAAAACCAGTCACATTGGGAACCACAGCACTGCCAGGAACATTTAAATTGGATTAAATCTTGCATTTTTCAGCTCTTGTTTTGAGTGAGAATTCAGCAGATTGCCAGACTGGGACAGTCTTTAAACTATGCACAAGCCTGGCTTTCTGTTACTTCAAGCCAACTTTTTTCTCATCTCCATCCATCCATCCATCCATCCATCCATCCATCCATCCACCCACAAAGGAGCATTATGAATCTTCTTTCATGAGTTTGAGTTTAGCCAGCTCTTTCTTGACAAATTCATGAGTTTCTTTTTTCTCAAACTAACCCCAATTTTCTGCATCTTTACCTAAGCACAAATAAATTTCACAAAGTTAGAATGAGACAGAAATTTTTATACTTGTGTACCACCCAAAAATAAACTGCAGTATCATAGATCAACGAGGGGAAGGACATTGGCTCCAGAGCACTGAATTTTAGCACTTATTTATACTTGGGCACTTGCTCTTTGACACTTGCTTTATTGTAAGAAAGGGGTTCTTTTTGTGCAATGCAATACATACCAGGTTTTTTTCTTCATTAAAGTGACTTTTAATTGGAGAAATCTTATTTTGCCATAGAGCAACAGAAGGTCAGTGCCAAGAGGTGGATCTGCAGAGACACCTAGTGATGCATTTTTTACACTCAAGTTTCAAAATTGCCAGAAATATTTCAACTTCTTTGAGGCCTAAAATATTTTCTACTGCAGCAAAATCACAATTGTAATATAATTTGGCTTGGCATTTGCCATCTAAGGCAACTAGTATGCAAAATGTATTTTTTTAAATCTTGGAGATATCTATATTTATTTTAAGGCAGAGCTTCACTTCACTGGGTACCCTTGGTTTCACAGTGCCACTGCAGAAACACTGTGAATTTATTTCATATCTTTTTCTAGTAATTACCAATATTCTGCCTTTTTGGACACCACTGAGCTGGTGTTTTGGGACAGTTTTCCTTTACACCACCAAAAAACAATATGCAATTTTTGTCATCATAAAATGGTGTTGAAAATGACTTTGACCACTAGATCTGGAAACAGGAGTTTCTTGTTCCTATTTTCCAATATCCCAAAGTATTTCTTATCAATACACTTCAAAAAATGGTCTTCTGGATGCCCTTCTTTTGCAGGAATCATGGAAAAACAAGGCAGGAGAGGAAAGCTGGAAGTCTTCAGGCTTGTCTAAATCTCTGGTTACCCCTGGCCATACTTGATTGCTTTCTGAGGTTCATCAAGGACCATGTTTGGTTTTATATGAATCTTTCCAACATGTTTGTTAGCCACATGCTTAGCAAAGCCAAGACTAAGTGCATGCAGAAGTGACTGGTTTTTGCTTTCTTAACACTGAGAAATCCTAATTTTTCAAACAGAAAACCATATCCCCCAAAAGGCTGGAGATGGGGAAGGGATATTAAAAAAAAGTACAAGTATTTTACAATCATACTTGTTTTTTAAAAATTAATTTAGCTATGAAAAGGAATATCTGGGAGGTGAAGCAAAAATTCACAGCAATTGCAGCAAAATTTCCAGATAAATAATAATCAGATCATCAATGGAGAGGACAAATGTAACACGTGGCAGAGGCGTTGGTTGCAATGTTTTTGGCTTAGCATCATGGGAGGGGAAAATGCAGCAAGAGATTTTAATAGCGAAAGCATGCAGGGAAATCAGAGTTTATTCAGACTCATTGCACAGGCAAATGGGTGGTGACTGATGGGGAAAAAGCTGATAGAAGCAGGAATGTAATGGGGAAAAGAGGAGAAAAAGGACCAAAGATGACTTTTTTTTCCCCCAGAAATGGGAAATGCATTGATGTGGATACAGCAGTGCCCTAACTCCCCGCTGAATGATGCACCCACATCAAGTCTTAATGTAAAATTAATTGATTTTTGCATTCAAATTACCATCTCTGTAGTTTTATTGCAAGGAAACGAGGAGCTACAGCTTTTTCTGACCTGGCCATATTTGCATGGTCACCTTTTCCGGTGTTGTTGCATGTCCCTAGTCCAGAGAAATTCTTTCTTCTTCAATCAAGTAATAGGTCTCTTGAAGAAATGCCTCAAAATGAAGGGAAATTGAGTAAGAAGGTGAAAAAATCCCCTTTGCTGGCATTTTGTTCAACAATAGGGAATCAGCTGGACACCAGGGAAGTGACGCAGAATGGGAAAAAGGTTGAAAAGGTTGAAAAGGGGGAAATGAGTGCGGTGTTATTGCCATTACAGCTGGGCTAATTAGAGATACAGTTATCTTGGGCTTATTTTAAAATTATAATTATATAAATATTATTTGCAAAAACCTGCCCATCTGGGAGGCTGTAGTTCACCTCCCTGTATTCCTCCATATCCTCAATTGCGGCACCCTTCCCAAAAGGTTGCATTATATACTCAAATAATCATTCAGTTTGGACTTTTTCCAATTGCTGCTCACGTGTAAGAGCTACTCCAGAGCTGGGGCTGATAATAACATTACAGCTTTTGGCTATAAAATGCCCATTTTTGCAAGAAGTTATCTTAAAGCTGCAATGAGTGATATCAAATGAGGTTGCTATTATTAATTTAATTATTTTACTATTATTCTGGCAAGGGGAAATGGTGGTGCTTGCCCTGGCTTTTAGCAAAAGCTGCATCACCCAGTTCCAGTCAAAGCACCAAAAAAATAGAAATTTATAGAAAGAAGAGGACTGAAGAAATTCCTTCTTGTCTATCATGCTCTTTTTTTTTCTTTCCTTTTTCCTTACGGGAAAGAGTGGCTGCACAAAGAAGGAGAGTTTGGAGAAGACACTAAGATGGCAGCTTTACAAACTGTAAATCCTATTTTTTCCTCTTTTTCTTCTTTGCAATTGCAACAAACTGAAAAATCCCTTTTTCTGCCATTTTGCCTTTTGAATCAGCTAGGGGAAAAAAAAAAAGGTAACGGGGTGAATTTATTGGAGGACGAAAATTAAAACCTTGCACACTCTCACTGTGTTAAAATCCCATGTTTTTAATATTTTTCCCCCACAGGAGATGCTGCAGAGCTCACCCGCGGCGCTGCCGCCCACCTCCAACCCACCCCCGGGCATCGTGGTGCCGGCAGCCGCGCTACCCCCAGGCAACTTGGCCATGAGCGCCAGCAGCGGCTCACCCGCCGTGCCAGGTAGGGACCACGGTGGAGGCTGGTGGTGGTCCTGGGGTGTCTATGTAGAAATTTGGGGTTTGGTACCCCCACGAGCCTTTCTTTTTTCCATAGGTGGAGCCTTGTACCAGCCCGTGACGATGGTGACGTCACAGGGTCAGGTCCTCACCCAAGCCATCGCCCCCGGTGCCCTGCAGATCCCCAATGCCCAGGTAAGACCTTCCCACCTCAAATGTCCATTTTTGCACTGCTATGGCAAGAAAGAAACCCCATTTTCTCGATAAGTTCAGCCCTTGAAGGATCCTACATTTTTAACTAGCAAGAAATATTGATTAAATCCATCTGCCAGGTGCCTTTGGGGTACCTAACAAATGATAGCAATGCTTATAGTATTGCTATATTATATAACAATATTTGAATATTATAATAATAATTAATATATAATGTGTAGTATATGATATATACGTCTATATAATTTATATATATATATATGTGTGTGTGTGTATATATATACAAAAAGGCCATTACATTATGCATCTGGGCTCACTAGCTTTGCCTGTCTGGTATACCACAGTGCTTACGGGAAAGGCTCTTTTTTTTTTCTTGCTTTATGGATTTTGGGATATTTTTTAGCTATTTGCTCTGGGTTTATCCCTTTTTTTTTTCAGTTGTTGCAGTTAACTGGGTTTGCCCCATGTGGCTGCATTCTTGTAATAAGGTGACAGTTTGGGGTAGAAATAAAAACAACTTGCTATCCCCGTTGGCTGCGTTGATCTCTTCCAAACCCGCATTCCCCAGGAATTTGGGCAAAAAAACATTGGTTTCTGCTATCCCGCTTCCCAGGGGAAGATCAGCAAAAATCCCTCAATGCGATTTTTTTTTTTTTCTGAAAAGCCCCAGTTTAATTGCAGGAGCCTCTTAACAAAAAAAAAAAAAAGGCACTTTGGGAAACAAGAAGTCCAAGAACAAGCGGGGTGTCCTGCCCAAACATGCCACCAACATCATGCGCTCATGGCTCTTCCAGCATCTCATGGTGAGCACCGCAGCTGCCAAAACACCCTGCAAAGCTGGGGAAAAAAGCGCAAAAAAACCCCAAACTGAACAAATGGAGATGGTGGTTTGTTTGAATTTATATTCAGAGGCACAAAGTGGTTTTGTTTTTATTTTGGGACTATTTTGGGGATGATTGTTTTCACTGAAGGTGGCCAAAACACTCCCTTAATGCATGAAGAAGCAAACAAAACCAGAGGGGGCAATGGAGGGTTTTTTTCCAGTTAAGAGCTCCAAAACATCATTTTCCACCAAGCTGGGGTATGAAACCTGCCCCACAGGTATGGTTTGTGGCACATCAGCAAGCAGCTGAAATACAGAATTACAAAATCACCACATTTTCAGGGTTGAAAATGTAGGCAAATGGAGGGAGCTCAGAGGATGCAGCTCTAATGCAAGGAGATTGTTCTCCC